GAGGCCGCGGGCGCAGGGCTCGGCCACCCGCCCTCGCCCTCCACGCCCCCACTCACGGCGGCTCGCAGACCACGACTGCCCCTGTGCATGAGGCCCTGCTCCCCCGGAACGTCCTCTTCCGCGGCGAACGTCCAGTGCGCGCTCTGCCCACTCCCTCGGGGGCCTTTGCTTTGCCAGCCCAGCTCCCGCTCCCTCCTCACCGACGCTGCTCTCGGGCTACGGCGGCTCCGCCGCCCCGCGGTTTGGGTATTTATTGACCTGTCCTCAGACCCGCTGACAGGTTCCAGGACCCCAGCACCCTAATCCACGTTTGGGATACACCGAGACCCCCAACATTCCTTGGTATTTATTATTTCCCCCACCGAGTACCCCACCCCCGACCCTCGCGAATAAAGAGCCCTCTTGTCAGCCCAAAGCTCGGGACTCCGGGTGTCCGCGCCGGCCTCGCCTAGGCGCGGGGTGAGGGTGGGGGCGGGGGGCTCGGTTGGCCAATCGGCGGGCGGTGGGGGCGGCCAATGGCTAGCGGGAAGCGGAGCGGCGGGATTAGGGGCGCGGCTTCGACACCCGACCAATGCGAGGCGGCGAGGGGCCGGCGTGTGGCACCGCCCCTTTTCCAGCTGTGGCCCAGCTGTGCCACCCAAACGCTAGGGAAGAGGGCAGGGCCGGCTGCGCGCGGGCCGCCCTGCTACACTGCGCCTGCGCGAGCCACGCGCATCCGTCCCTGAGACTCACGCCCAAGAAAAGTTGCTGTAAACTTTCTAGCCCGTTTCCCCCGCCCCTTCTCCCCGCTAGACCCGCCCCCCTGGGGAGCCGGGAATTCCGAGGGGCGGAGCGCGGTCGAGATGGGGAGTGGGGGGGGCCCTCCCGAGGGCGCTGGAAACGGAGGCGTGCAGAAGCTCAGTCTCGGGGCGGAGGTGGCTTCGCGCCCTTAGACCTCCCGGACGGCCCGTTACCCTCTCCGTTGTCCCGAAGGGGAAACTGAGGCCCTGGGCCAGAGAGGCACACGCTGGGGGAGGCAAAAAGCGCGGCCCGAGGCGGAGGGAAAACAAAGGGAGAATCACTAACAGACGGGGAGGAGGACGGGCACACACAGACACTGGGGCAGAGACCCTGGTGGAGAGCTGGGCCTGGCATTGGCGGGGAGACGCGGGGTCGGCTGGGGGAGAAGATCGGGAAGCGAAGGGGGGGCGGGAAGGGGGAACGGGCGGGGGAGGGGGCTGGGGAAAGCCCGAGGGAGGAGGAGAAGGAGGGAGGAACTTCCCAAAGTTGCAAAAACATGGCTACCTTGCCTGCGGAGCCGAGCGCGGGTCCGGCGGCTGGGGGGGAGGCGGTGGCCGCGGCGGCGACCGAAGAGGAGGAGGAGGAAGCGCGCCAGCTCCTGCAAACTCTGCAGGCGGCCGAGGGTGAGGCGGCGGCGGCCGGGGCCGGGGCGGGCGACGCGGCGGAGGGCCCGGGGTCCCCGGGCGCTCCGGGGTCGCCCCCCGAGGCCGCTGCTGAGCCGCCCACGGGCCTCCGCTTCTCGCCGGAGCAGGTGGCTTGCGTCTGCGAGGCGCTGCTCCAGGCGGGCCACGCCGGCCGCTTGAGCCGCTTCCTGGGCGCGCTGCCCCCGGCCGAGCGCCTACGTGGCAGCGATCCGGTGCTGCGCGCTCGGGCCCTGGTGGCCTTCCAGCGGGGCGAGTACGCCGAGCTCTACCGGCTGCTCGAGAGCCGCCCGTTCCCCGCCGCCCACCACGCCTTCCTGCAGGACCTCTACCTGCGCGCGCGCTACCACGAGGCCGAGCGGGCCCGCGGCCGCGCGCTGGGCGCAGTGGACAAGTACCGCCTGCGCAAGAAGTTCCCCCTGCCCAAGACCATCTGGGACGGCGAGGAGACCGTCTACTGCTTCAAGGAGCGCTCGCGCGCCGCGCTCAAGGCCTGCTACCGCGGCAACCGCTACCCCACGCCCGACGAGAAGCGCCGCCTGGCCACGCTCACCGGCCTCTCGCTCACGCAGGTCAGCAACTGGTTCAAGAACCGGCGACAGCGCGACCGGACCGGGGGCGGCGGCGCGCCCTGCAAGAGGTGAGGGGGACCCGGGGACGCAGGGTCGGGTTTGCCCGGGACGGGGTGTCTACAGCGCCCGTCGCCCCCGCTGCTGCAGCCCGCGCGCCCAGTTCCTCCGGCATCTCCCGCTCCGACCCTCCGGCGCCCGCGGGCGCAGGGGACACGAGTGGTGGGCCTGGGCGGGCCGGGCGCCCTCCCCGACACCACGGCTCCTCCCGCCGAGGCTGGGTCTCTTTGCTCCCCTCGAGGCTCCATCCCAGACTCCGTCCGCGCGCGGCTGCGGCGGTGGGGGGGAGGCCGGGAGAAGACCGGGCGCGGGAAAGGGGGAGGGGCCGCTGCCCCCGCCCGCGGGGGTTTTTTCGGGCCCCCAGCCGGGGCCCTGACCGTTACCGTCCGGCCCCCCACCCACCCCCCAGGGCCCGAACGGCGTGGTCCGTTGTCTGTCTTTGTTGTGAAACGTGAACCTTCCCCGGCTCCGGTTTCCCTGTAACCCAAGCCCTACCCCTCCCACCCGCGCCGGCCTCTCCCTCCCTGCCCTGCCTCCGGGGGAGGGCGCGGGCCGCCGCCTCCGAGCTCTCGCAGCCGCTGGCTGCGCCTGCCTGGCCCCGGCGACTTGGGGTGGCCGGGGCCCCGCCTTTAGGTCCCCGAGGCCGAGGGGCTGGGAAGAAGGGCCTCTGACCCCCCCCCCCAACCCCGCCAAAAGCGCCAGCTGTGGCTTTAAAGCAGGTACCGGTACCGGCTTTCAGAACCTCTGACCAGGGCCCCTGGGGTACACTGAGCAAGCTGGTTTCCTACCCCCTCAGCTTTCCACTGAAGTTTGGGCTGAGGAAAGGGGGAGGCAGCGTCGACCTGCGCTCCCTGGTGCGGGCCCTGCGGCAATGGCGCTGGGCTGGGAGGCGCAGCTTCCCGGACCACAATTCACGGTCCTTTCTCTGGCCAGCGAATCTGACGGAAACCCCACTACTGAGGACGAGTCCAGCCGCAGCCCTGAGGACCTGGAGAGGGGCGTGGCGCCAGTGGGCTCCGAGGCGCCGGCCCAGGGCTCCATATTCTTGGCGGGGGCCGCCCCTCCTGCCCCGTGCCCGGCCTCCTCCTCCATCCTGGTGAACGGGAGCTTCCTGGCTGCCAGCAACTCCTCCGCCGTGCTCCTCAACGGGAGCCCCGTCATCATCAACAGCCTGGCCCTGAGCGAGGCCTCCAGCCTGGGCCCCCTGCTGCTCACGGGGGGCGGGGGCGCCCCTCCACCACAGCCCAGTCCCCAGGGCGCCAGTGAGGGAAAGGCCTCCCTGGTCCTGGACCCTCAGACTGGGGAGGTTCGGCTAGAGGAGGCTCAGCCTGAGACCCCAGAAGCCAAGGGGGCCCAGGTGGCTGCCTCAGGGCCAGCTGGGGAGGAGGTGCCTGGGCCCCTGCCCCAGGTGGTGCCCGGCCCCCCTGCGGCCGCCACCTTCCCGCTGCCGCCAGGACCCATGCCATCTGTGGCTGCTTCGCAGGTGGTGCCCCTTTCCCCACCCCCTGGGTACCCTGCCAGCCTGGGCCCCACTTCCCCGCTGTTGAACCTGCCCCAGGTGGTGCCCACCTCCCAGGTGGTGACCCTGCCCCAGGCTGTGGGTCCCCTTCAGCTATTGGCAGCTGGGCCTGGCAGCCCTGTGAAGGTGGCAGCCGCCGCGGGTCCTGCCAACGTGCATCTGATAAACTCCGGGGTGGGCATGACTGCCCTGCAGCTGCCTTCGGCCACTGCCCCAGGTAGTGCCCCCGTCTGTGGGCAGGGTGTGGGCTGGGTGAGTGTGGGGGCACCCTCAGTGGGCTGGGGGGGAGCAGCTCATCCCTGGTATGTCCTGGACCCTCCTGTGCCAGGGTGGTGCCTGAGAGTCGGATGCAGTCACCCCAGGGCCTGCCCTCCTGCCTGCCCTCCCCAGCTTCACAGCCCCCTCTCCTGGACACTGAGCCCCCTGCGGTCTCTCCCACAGGGAACTTCCTCCTGGCCAACCCTGTGTCGGGCAGCCCCATCGTGACTGGTGTGGCCGTGCAGCAGGGCAAGATCATCCTCACTGCCACCTTCCCCACCAGCATGCTGGTCTCCCAGGTCCTGCCCCCCACCCCCGGCCTGGCACTGCCTCTGAAGCCAGAGACCGCCATCTCCGTGCCCGAAGGAGCCCTCCCGGTGGCCCCCAGCCCTGCGCTCCCCGAGGCCCACGCCCTGGGCCCCCTCTCCGCGCCGTCTCCACCGCAGCCGCCGCCCGCCCCCGCGGCCACGGCCCCCGCCAGCCTGCCCTTCTCCCCGGACTCCTCTGGCCTCCTGCCCGCCTTCCCGGCGCCCACGGCCGAGGGGCTCATGCTGTCCCCTGCGGCCGTGCCCATCTGGCCGGCCGGGCTGGAACTGAGCGCAGGCACAGAGGGGCTGCTGGAAGCAGAGAAGGGGCTGGGGACACAGGCCCCCCACACCGTGCTGAGGCTGCCTGACCCCGACCCCGAGGGGCTCCTCCTGGGCGCCACGGCTGGGGGCGAGGTGGACGAGGGGCTGGAAGCCGAGACCAAGGTCCTGACCCAGCTACAGTCTGTGCCGGTGGAAGAGCCCTTGGAACTGTGACCCCGGGCCTCAGCCCCTCTCCTGACAATGGTGCTGGTGGCCAGGTGGGGCGGCGGGCCTCGGGGGACGGGACACTGCCGCGGAGGCTGCGCCGGGGGTGCCCACCTCTCTGTGCCAGAGGTGCTGGGGCACCACCCCTCTGCCCAGAGGCCCCTGTTACAGCCCTCTCCTCTCTCTGCACCCCACACAGTTGGGAGAGCAGATGGGGCCTCGCCCGGGGCCTCTGCCCCCCTTACATCTGGTACTAGCTGTGGTTAGAACCCTGCCAGCCTGGCTGAACCTCCAGCCCCCTTGAGCCCCTCCTTCTCCCGCCCCAAAACACTATTAATAGCTCTCACCTCAGTGTTCTCAGAAGTGCCTGGAATCCAGGCTGGGGGGCGGTCTGTCCTCCCCTAGGACACCTCCCAGCCGGGCCCTTCCTGCTGAAAGGGGTGCAGTGAGGGGGCCTGGGCAGAGTGCCCTTAGCTCCCCCTGGACTGAAGCCCTCCTGACTATGTCTGGCCCCAGACCAAAGATCCCTCACCCCTGGGGCGGCCCTGGCCCACATCTAGTTTGTACCCGAAATCTTTATTTTTCTAGGACGTGTTATGTCTCCATTTCAATTAAAATAAAGTTAACAGATAACTAGCACCTCCAGGTGCGGGTCACCTTCCTGGCGGCCCCTGGAGGGAAACCACGAAAGCAACTTGGGGTACTGCTCCTGGGGGAGGGGGCTGGTGGGGACTCCCGGGGCCTGGCCAGGTCCAGGTTGCAGTAGCCCCCAGGGCTGAGAGACAGGGAGCACTGCCTGGACCTCTCCTGCTGGTAACCAGGCTCCACTTGCTTTATTTTGAAAACAATAAATAATCTATAAATAGAACAGGGTCCGGGCAGAGTAGAGGAAGGTGAGAACTAGGGGTTGAAACCATTTGATTCTGGGCTGTGGGAAGAAGGCGGAGGGAGCCCTTGTGAACTTGTCTCCCCACAGCGCAAACTGGGTGAAGGCATGGGGTCAGCCAGCGTCCCCGTCCCCACCCCCAGCAGGGGTGAGGGGGGGGCACAGGCTCAGGTTCAAGCCATGGGAGTGCCAGGCCGGCCACCCTCATTCCTGGGGGCCAGGCGGCGGCGGCAAGGCTGGCTCTGAGGAGCTGCCGGCCTTCTCGGCCAGGAGCTGGTAGAAGGGCTTGGGGGTGCCCCAGTCCTCATCCTCGCTGCTGGAGCTCTCCTGCTTCACGATTCGGTTGTGCTGGCGGCTGAATCTCCGAGCTTTGATGCTGGGGACAGAGGTGGCAGGCGGGTCCCCTACTAGCTGCCACCGGTGTCCCCTAGTCCTCTGGCCCCAGCGCCAGCCAGGGTCCGGCTGAGGGCAGCCCTTGGGGAAGCCCAGGCCCCCAGCCTGGCTGCAGGTGGACCTGGCCAAGGACCCCTCCCAGTCTGCTAACACCTGGCACCTGTGGGGGCCAATTTGGACAGAAACGGGCAGGTGGGGGGGAAGACGGAAGAGGCGAGCTGGCGGCCAGGACGCAGGCCCGGCTTCCTGTGAGGAGCTCCCTGGGTGAGGGCGGAGGAAGTGGCGGCCTCGGGGTCCACATCCTGAAGGGAGCTATCAGTCCTTCGAGCCACAGGTACCGCGCCCCCCCCCCCTCGCCCGGCTGCCGGGCAGGCCCCTCACCAGTATGGTCTCCGCTCCTGCTGGCTCATCACCCGCCAGAGCTGGGCCAGCTCCTTGGTGGCAGCGGTGGACGCGGTCCCAGGGCAGGCGCTGGGTGGGGAGGGGCGAGGTCAGGAGGGACGCAGGGTGCCAGGCTCAGCCGCGCCCCCCTGTGCGGGCTCCCTCCACCTTGCCCAGGCCCAGGAGACTCAGTGGAGGGCAGGGCCCCGAGGGGCAAAGATGGCAGACACCACCCGTCCTGGAGACGGCCACATCTGATGCCATCTACCTTCGAAACACCTCCCGAGGGAGGCCCCAAAACCTACGGACCCTGCAAATAGCACCAGGTAGTCTCCCCCATAGGACAGCCCATAGAAAAGTGGTTTTAAAAAGCCCCAAATCCTGCTTAGTGGCAAACAACCTCTTCACCTGGGGGGCTCCCAGCAGTGTATTCAGTAAATCCCCCTTCTCCTGTTCTCCACTCTCTTTAGTAAACTCACCCCAGTGCCCCCAGCCACACCCCAGTATTAAATCACCGCACCCCTCATGTTTAAAGCCACATGAATCAATGCATTTCCTTTTTTCCTGCAGTCTGGTTGGGTTTCACAGTTCGCCATCACAAGTCCTGCTGTGGCACCCACCCACCGCCAGACCCCCACCCCCAGTCAGGCCAGGTAGGGGGCGAGGGGCGGGCGGTGAGAAAAGAGGTTGGGGGGGCGTGGCTGCTCCCAATGGGGGCAGGCTATGGCAGCAGGGCGATGCCAGCCGAGGGGGCCCCAACCCACCGGATGTACTGCTTCCGGTTCATCCTGCAGAACATGATGAATCCGTTGACACACTTTTTCTTCATCTGGGTGAGGCCCGGGGCGTCCTTGCTCTCCTCGAGCTTCACGGGGCCGCGGCCCTTGCGGCCCTTGCGGGCCTTTCTCCCGACCGCGGGCAAGGTGGAGGCCCGGCGGCTGGGGGTCCACGTGTAGTCTCCGTCATCGCTGGAGGTCATCAGGCCCTTGGGGTCAGCCTGGGCGTCCTGGATGGGGGTAGAGGTAAGAGCAGGCAGGAGCGCCAGAACCTGCCGGTGGGGTGCGGCCTCCTCTCACCTCCTGCCTCCATACCGACTCAGTGTCTGTGTCGGCCGGGCTGGCGCGGGCCTTGCTGTTCCCACTCAGCGGGAGGTAGCAGTGGTCCAGCGACACGGAGGATGGGCATAGGCCGTGCGGGCCAGGAGCATCTTCAGGGGCCTCAGAGGGTGTGTCCTGGGGTGCAGGGAGATGTGGGAGAGCGTGAGGGGCAGCAGCACCCCTGCTCACAGCCACAGGTCCCACTCTGCCTTCCTTAGTGTAACATGAGCCGCAGAAACACCCGAGGGCCCCGTCTCGCCCCACACACCTGGACACTTCAAGCAAAAGTTCCCCAGTGCCCTGCCTCTGCTCTGGCGCCATCTCTCCTCCCGCAGGTCACACCTCCCACAGCCTGAGGCCTGAGCAGGTCTCACTTCCTCTGAAGGTCAGTTCCATCCACAGAACAGCTGTGGCATCCAAGCCTGAGAACTCGCGGGGGGGAGGGGGGGGCTTTTGTTTCTACTGTCAGTTTTGTCATCACTGAGGGGGGCGCATTTACACACACATTTGGGAACTAGGGCTGGGGCTGCCTCCCCCCTAGACAGTGGAGCTCCCTCAGAAGGTACTATGGAGGTTTGCCCAGGGGCCTGGGGGAGGTCCTTCCCACTGAGGCTTTGGGGGTCCCTCAGCTGTCAGCTTCCTCATCTGTAAAAGGGAATCGTGAGCGCTGGCCTCAGAGCGGTGTAGGTCATGGGGGCACCTGCTGGCTCAAGCATGATCCTTATGTCCAGTTCACCAGGGACCTGGCACAGGGCAGGGGACTGGCGACAGTGAGTGTGCAGAAGAAGCTCAGTGCAGAGGGTGACGGGCACCTCCCAAGGGAGGCTGAGGTGGCCAGTGATGGACAGGCGTGGGGGCAGGAGCCACTGGCCGGCTGGGGGCAGATAAGGGGCTCAGCAAGTGAGAATATGTGTGGCAAAAGGATGGGCATGTCTGTGGATGCGGCTGGGGGCGGGGGCCAGAGGCCTACCTGCTGTGGCTCCTCGAGCTTGCAGGCCAGAGGCGAGGCTACGGGCTCTAACAGCACTTCCTCAAAAAGCTCTGTGGGGAAGGAGAGCAGAGGGGCTGGCGGGGAAGGGCCTCACCGCACCTGCCTCGGGCAGTCCCACCTACTGGGCCTGCTTTGGCTCTTTGCTTTGGGATCTCCTGCCCCTGTCCAAACAGGCCAGCTCCCTTGGGTACTTCCAACCTTGGCAGGAGGGGCTCCCCACTGTGGCCTCCATGTGGGGCCTGGGTGGCTTCCCCACTAGGCTTTGGGCTCCTGGCAGAGGGCCTGAGGGGCTCCCCCTGGGAGTCCACACTGGTTGACACGGTGCGTGAGTGAGCCGGCGCCAGGTCAGCCGTGGACGTTCACCTTGAGTCAGGTACTCGGTGTCATCCTCCAAGATCTGTTCAGGCAGCATTTTCCCCGGAGAGCTGAAGAGGGAAGGGCTGAGGCCCAGAATCTCACTCGGGTGGCCTGTCACACTCCATTTGTCAATCCGGGGTGGCCCCAAGGCCAGTGGGCTCCCTAAAAAGCACACATCAGGCTTTGGGGTACAGTCTGAGACTATCTTCTCCCCTATAATATGCAGCTGATATTGGGGAGACAGTGCCAGACACCAGGGTGAGGTAACCTCATTTTTGTCAATTCCTCACTACAAGTAGAGTTTCTCGGTACAGGACCGAGAGAGACGCCTGGTGTCCAAAAAGCCAATATATCTCAGCGTGCCAGACCCAAAAACTGGCAGCAGCCACCTGGAGCTGTGTAAAGAGAGATTCTGGGGTAAGGCCGACTTAACCACAGCACCTGTCCTCTGGGGCTCCATGACAGTGGGCACCCTGTGTGCTTAGCGGACACCCTCACCTTTCCCACTACCACTTCCATAGGGATCCCCAGAAGGAAGCTACTGGAAGCCCCACCCCAACCAACAAGCAGGAGAGACAATTTCAGTCACCCTGGGGGCTGTCCTCTGGGGTCCAGGCGGGAAGCCAAGGGTCGGCGCCGGGGGCCTCCTTGTCCACCTCCTCACTGGAATCATAGAACACCAGCTTCTGTCTGCAAGAGGCAGAGTTCAAGAGGTTCCCTGCAGTCTGGGAACCAATGTGTGAGCCCAGAGGGCGCTCCCCAGCGCTACCCCACGCTGGCCGCTGGGGGCAGAAACCTGAAGCAGCTGAGGGCAGCCCTCTAGGTGCTGAGGCAGCGATGAGAAGCTGGTGACCCAGGGCCAGTGCTGTTTTGGGGTAAAAGGCGGGCAGGGCAAGAGGGAGGACAGCTGGGAGCATGCCCTAAAGAGCGGGGAGTGTTCTCTAGCTGGACAGGGTAACAGTCTGGCCCGGAGCTCTGAGGGAGGCCCGGAGTGGGTCAGGGCCTGGTTCACGTGGTTAGTGGAGAATGTCTGGTCAGAAGCATGGGGGAGGGGTTGCCAAGCTAAACTGGGGTCAGAGGGTTTCTGGAAGGCCAGCTGGGAAACTGGGCCCCCTAGCCTGTGTATACTGAGCAAAGCCTGAAGCCACAAGTTGGCAGGTCAACGATGGTGGGTTAGATGTGGCTGAACCAGTGAGGACCAGCTGGATGAGACGAGACGGGGACCCCAGAGGAGCTGCGGCCCTGGTCACAAGGAAGTAAGGCTTTCCTTCAAGCACATGATGTCTGCTACAGAGCTACACCTGCAGCTCCCCAGACACCAGTCAAGGAGGTAAAAATCGACCTCATTTCTCACTACCCCTCAGCCATTCCAGACCAGTACTTAAATACTTAAGTGTCCCCCTCAAAGCCGTTGGGGTTCCCTTACCTGGGAAAGGGCTGTGTCCTGTTGAGAAAATGGAGCCTCTGAGCCCCTTGCTGGTCCTCCCAGGCAGAGCAAAGCCCACCAGGCTGGGCTCTCTTCCCACAGCAGCAG